AATGTATAACACCAAATGTGTAGAGTGAGTAAGAGAAGAAATAGGATGATGTCAATAAATCCAAGAAAAGCCTGTGGCTAAATATCATATTTATTCATTATAAAAGCTCAGAAGAATGTGAGAACAAAAAGAATATACTGCCACATAATAAAGACAATGAGACAATCCTAAACCTAACAATACAAAGGACAGCTGGAATCCTTTCACTCTAACCAGGACAGAAAAGGGTGACGTCCACACTCAAAACATTGCATCAGTGGGTACACAGTTCAAGGACACAGACAATATTAAACATGACAATATAGGACAGTAATAGAGAAGGGGGTGCTAGTAGATAAAAAATAGAATTCTGCAATTTAAAGGGAGAAATACCCATGAGAAACTGATAAGATCTGATAGACCTCTTAAAAGTTACATAATACATATACAACATCACTTTTTTTTTTTTTCAAAAAGAGGATTCTGAGAAGTCAGCAGACCACTCAGTGTATAAAAATATCTTGGACTCCCTGGTGGTAGCATTCATAGTGTCAAAAACTGCTATGTAGGTAGGGGATGGGAGCAGGGTAATAAATGTGCATACAAAGGTTTGGATACTGTGTGCTATAATCCCAATTAGCCAGGCAAGATATGCACATGGGTATCAGAGTAGCAAGATTATTTTGTGGGTAACAGAAGGCCTTCTCGTTTGATCTGAATTAGGCTCCCCAGGAAATTATACATGTATGATACAGGCAATCTGGCCAAAACCTTGTGACGGTGAAGGTCACAGGCCCTAGGAGGTAAGCCACTGCTGACATTCTATCACATTTACAAATATTCAAACTGCCTTTCATTGACTCTGGTAAGAACACAGACAGGTGCTACTTTCGGCCTAGGTCTAAGAAACTCTTTTTTCAATGAACAACGTTTTTTTTCACAGACTCAACAAATCCCGAACAACTGACTGCTTACTAAACAGGCTAGGATGGGAATTTCATCTTTTCACATCTAAATTGCAGGGAACAGTACAGAAGAGGAGGTAAAAGATTTTAAGGGCTAGAGGATAAGGAGGTGACATATCAAAAACTCTCTTGCCATATGATATGACAATCAGAATAATGAACAAATTACGGCCTGGCTACCTGGCCTAAACCTGCCCAAAATCATGCATGTAATATGAGGACAACTGAGAAGAAAGCACATCTAGCCAGGAATGGGACAGAGGGTGACAAGGTGGTAAAAATGAGTGAATAAAACTGTGCAATTATTAAATATCAATATTTATTAATTATAAATATTGAACAGTAGAACTTAAGAGGAGATATCAATTATCTATTTGAAGGTACAACTTTTCTTAACCATCATGGATACAACCAACCAATTAGAGAAGATGTACACTATCTGTTTTTGCTTCTATTTATTTAATTCAAACTGAACAGTAAACAATAAAACATAGTTTATAAAAAAGGGGTAAAAACTAACCAAGCACAAGACAGACAAATGAAATAGAAATTTGCATTCATGAAAGGAATAGAGGATGACACTGGAAAATGGGAAAATGTGCATGCTCATGGAACAGGATGCATTATTGTGAAAATGACAGTGTTAAAAGATTCATATGATTAACTCAAAATTCATGACAATCAAGCTAACAATGATTTACTTCACAGGTACAGTCAGGAGACTCCTACAAATTTACATTATTTATAAGTTACAAAATTACAAAGACCCTAAGAGTGCAGAGCAAGCCCAGACACACAGAGCAAAGCTTGAGTCATCCCAGCTATGATTTCAGAAGACACTGCAGACTCAAGGGAACAACAGCACCATGGTGGTGGCAGAAGACCAGACGCCTAAGCAATAAGAGCCACAGATACAGAACCAATCCAACCTACTGTGACCAACAGAATTTCACCAAAATGCCAAAAGCTTATGTTACAGAATAGGCAGCTTCATCAACCAGTGCTGTAGGGAAAAGTAAATATCTACATATAAAGGAATAAAAATAGGTGAAAAACAATGAATTGGTGAAATCTGACTGTGTGCAACTGAAAAATTGCATACAAAAGTAAATAGCTGAAAGAATATAGAAACTGCCTACAGAACAAAGAGATTTATTAGCAAATATTTCAGACTACAATACATAAATACACAGATTTTACCAAGAAATTAAAAAAATGCAAAGCAAATAATAGTATAATCAAGAAATAAACCAAAAAGGTGACAATGCACAAAAGCTTTGACACAGCCAAAATGTAAACAGCACATGCTCCACACGTTTACTGATGAAGAAAATGTTCTCTAATGTACATTGATATCTCTCTGCCCAGTCAGTATCCACTCCCAAGGTGTTAAATAACAAATGCTGGAGACAATACAAATGGAAGGACACAGAGACAGTGTCAGTGGGAACCCAACTCACTGCAGTCACCAGGAAAGTCAATGTACAGCTTTATGAACAACCAAACAAGAAAAAGGAGATACTACTCAAAATTATAAAGGAATAAAATAAAATGCAAGCTATCAATGAAACAGAAAAGCAGAAAGAGGAAAAGAAACATAATACATAAAAATAACAAAATAGTATGTGTTTATATTCCCTTCAGTGATTTCTTGAAATGTATATGTATGATACAAAGTGCTAAGAGTGAAAGAATTTTTTTTAAAAGATTTTCTCTGAAGAGGGTTGGTCATGATTATGGTAGCTAACAGTAAAAGTCAAATCTATAAAGATACAAAACAAAAAATATTAACAAATGATCACTGGTGTTGAAGTCTCCCACTATTAGTGTGTGGGGTTGGATGTGGGACACTTTGCTCAACCTTGATGCAGGGGGAAGTGGCTTGGACCTGCCTCAACTGAATGTACCACCAGGCTTTGCTGACTCCCCATGGGAGGCCTTACCCTTTTGGAGGAGGGGATAGAGGGTAGGGGGGAGAGGAAAGATGAGGGGAGCAGGATGAGAGGGGGATCTGTGGTTGGTATGGAAAAAGGATTTTTAAAAATTTCTTAAATAGCTGAGCGGTGGTGGCGTATATCTTTAATCACAGCACTCAAGAGGCAGAGCCAGGCAATCTCGGTGAGTTTGAGGCCAGACTGGTGTACAGAGTGAGATCCAGGACAGGCACCAAAGAGACAAGAAACCCTATCTCAAAAAAACAGAAAAAAATGCTTAAATGAAAAAAAGCAATAAATAAATAAATAAACCAGAAAGGTATTTGATCAACATGAATATACTTCATAAAACAGTTTCTAAATACAGGAAGTAATCAATGGCAGAATTCTAAGAAAGAAACAGACAAAGATACAGGGAAGCTTCGATGTCCACCATTGAGCAAGATGACCATGAACAACCCAGAAATTCAATAATGCCTAGAAGTCCTCCAGAGAATCATCCACTTAACATCAGAAGTCACCCAGTCTTCTCAAACTACAAGAAGCATGCTCCAGTGTGGCCATGTCTTAAAAATAGAACAAGTCTTCAAACCTAGTAAAGATCAATGTTTAACACGAATTACTAAATGGTCTTATTAATATAAAACCAGAGCCAGATATTGGGGTGAAAACTGAAAGAGCAGAGCAACAGAAGAAGCCACAGACAACCTTACCAACTCGTTAGATGATCCTGTTTTCTCAGACTGAAAGCCTCTCAGTCTTCACCTGAATTGATGCTAAAAAGCTCCTAGTTTCTGGACCTCAGGCCTTATATACCTTTCTGCTTCCTGCCATCACTTCCAGGAATTAAAGGTGTGTGTCCTTCCCAAGCAAAGACAGGAGATCTCAAGTGCTAGGATTAAAGGCATGCGCCACCACACCTGGCTCTGTTAACCAGTGTGGCCTTGAAATCACAGAGATCCAGACAGATCACTGCATCCTCAGTGATAGGATTAAAGGCGTGTGTGCAACCCCTGTCTGGCCTCTATGTCCAATCCAGTGGCTGTTCTGTTCTCTAATCCCCAGGAGAGCTTTATTATGGAGCACAATATATCAGCCACAGGTGTCTTCTCCAAGAACCTAGTATACTGACATCAACAGTAGACAGAACAGAGAATATAAAAAAGACATGTGAAGACTGACTCCCTGATACCATGCTCTCATTCAAACATGTAAAGAAATATAAAACAAGCCTTATGTTCTGTAAAGATTCTAAATAATTTATACCAAGATCTTAGATGCATTTTTTTCTATAAAAAATGTAGAAAATCAGGAATTCCTAAGATATATAAAATTGTGAGTAATCAAAGACATCAAAAATAATGAGAGGATGAAATCCGGAGATAATTTCAAAACATATAAAAACTGTAGCGATGAAAACTGTGTAGTGTTGAAGACGGACAATAGGATATCAAAAGGAAGACAATGTAATTAGACTTTAATACTTGGCAGAGATAGTATGTAAATCTTATTGAAATTTTGCTGGCATTATTTTAGAAGATAGAGAAATTAACCACAGAACCTTAAGGAATTAAAAGATTCCAAAACCTCTGTATATAGGACCAACCAAGAGGCTTAAATGGTTCTAACCAAACACCATATTAAAACTATACTAATGGGGGCTGGAGAGATGGCTCAGAGGTTAAGAGCACTGACTGTTCTTCCAGAGGTCCTGAGTTCAATTCCCAGCAACCACGTGGTGTCTCACAACCATCTGTAATGAGATCTGGCGCCCTCTTCTGTATACATAATAAATAAGTAAATCTTTAAAAAAAAAAAAAAAACTATACTAATGAAACCACTTAACGTGGTATAAAAACACAACCAAAGATGGAAATGGAAAAGGACAGCATCACTCCTGTGCAAAGTCAAATAAAATTATATTTACCTCTAAGTATTAAAACTTTCCTACCGTCTTCAAACACCTACAATAGGACAATCTTGATATTATTCTCAGTGGACTTCTCTAGAATCATTTAGAATTAAACAGAATGTGGCAAAACCAACTTCATGTCCTCTTTCTACTGTCACTTCAGCCCTTCCGCATCTCTTCACCCCTCCTCAGACCCTCTAACACACCTGGGTCCTTTGCTACTGTCTCCTCTCTCTTCTCCATCCAGGGCTCTTTGTTCTGCTCCACAGGTGAGCAGGACTGACCAACCTTGTGAGACTGCATAGGAGAAAGAGATTCTTCAGAAAGCACCTGGAACTTTGCAAGGAGCAAAAACAAAAGAGGCTAACACCTGACAAAAGGAGAAAACCATCAAGGAAAGAGAAATATCAGGAAAAATATCTCTTTCTCTAAGGATTTCAATTTACGCTGTGAGGTGTGAGACTCATTCACACACAGCTCACACACATGCAGAGTAGTTTTCTCAGGAACCCTGAGGAGAAGCAAGGGAGACTCCAGAAAACTATTCTCACCTTCAGAATCCAGACTGCTGCAGTTCTCCAACAGGAGATCTGTGCAAAAAGCCCTGTGATCAGGGTCTAGGCATTCCCACTCCTCTTACAAGTCCACAGTCACAGCACTGAATGTCAACAGACCCTAAAATAAAAAAATAAAAATAAAATAAAATAAAAACAGTTGGGATAAGTGTGCATGAGCAGAATGCTTTTCTTCAATTAAAGAGACATTTTTCTGATACGGGTGAGTGATCAAAAATATTATAAAATAATACTGTTTAAAGTGTATTTGGTAACTCTAAAATAGTGTGGCTCGATACACTCACAGCACGCATGCTGCCCTTGGCTGAACCTAAGGTGTAACATAAGAACACAGCATATGAAGACACATTTCTGAATGCTGTATTTACATTCTAGACTACCTATATCTCAGATGGAAAATTAATGGGAAGTAAAAGGTTTGCTTAATGTTTACAACCATATCTGGGGCACTCTGTAAAACATATTTTCTGTTTAATCGTATCTCACTGGTTCCTCATGTGATTACTAGCCACAAACTCTCTGGGGATGCCTAGTCTCAGGGGCAAGTGCCACTCTCTAAAATAGGCCTGTGGTAAAACAGGGAAGTTAGAAAGCATGGATGAATTTAAATTCCAGGACTATTGAAACTGTCACATAGCAAAGAGAATCCTGTTTGCAAACATCGGACAATGCAAATGCTCTCCTGGATTATTTTATGATTTATATTATGACAGAATAGTCTGGCAACATAAGGTAAGTGTAAAATAATCACGATAAGACCCACTTCATGGGATCTCAAACTTACCGACAATGGAAAAGATATCGGTAACAGAATACTGAAAGCTGTGTCTGTACGGAAAAGGCGGCCGGCCAGGGTGGGCCGCTAAGAGAACGCGCCACATGCAACAGGTCTAGGGTGAGGCTTATTGGGGGAGGAGCATGAGCAAAAGAGCAAAAGGCCGTCTCGGAGTGGGGACATGAGAGGCAGAGAACAGGTAAGAGAGCAAGCAAGGAGCAAGAAGAGAACTGTGACAGATGAACACTTTCAAGGGGTGTTCGAGGCGCGCAGGGAGGCATCCAGCTTGTAGTGCGGGGAAACGACCGCACCTGACCGCAGGTGATGACGTAAGCTGCTGCAGGATCCCCGACGTCCCCCGGCAAACCAGCGGGAGCCAACAGAGTCCTTCTGAGCAGCCTCCGCGCGCACACCCCGGTCCCTCCCCTCCCGTGTCCCAGCCCCGCAGCTCCTCTGACCTGGGAGGTTCCAGGGCCGCCGGGCTGCGGTTCCCGCCACTGCGCTGCTGACTGGTGACTTTCCCAGGCCGCCCCGCGCGGAGACTGCGGCTCCGGGGAGTTTTCAGGTCCCCGAATACCCGGGGTCGTCCTCACCCAGTCCGGGACCCCTGTACCCCCGAGTCCAACAGGGAATGGTGATATTTCCTGGCACTTCAGCCTCATTCCTTGGAGCGGCACCTCCTGGCCCCGCCCAATACACCCCGCTTCCGGTTACGCGTTTCCTCTAAACCCGCCTGCACCCTCCCTCCTTCGTCCCCAACCCCCCTTTTTCTTAGTTTTCCATTTCTCCCCTGCCCCACAGATACTTTTCCCCTACACCTCTCTGAGTTCGCTGTGTCCTCTTTGTGTTGTTAACAAGTCTTAACTCGGACTCTCCATCCGTCTGAAGCAGCAGCAGAGCAGGGAGACCCGGACTAGCAATGGGGCAGGGTCTTGAAAGCTAGCGGGGCTTGGGGGGGGGGGTCTACAGACGATTTTAGACTCGGGATCGGTTTATGCGAGTGGCAATCATGTTAGTTGTGGAAGGGACCCAAAACAGCTTGACCACACAGCTGTCATGACAGGCTTGGGAGCCCAGACACAGCTTGTGTGAAGGGCTTACTGGCAGGCAACACTCCCCCAAAATGAGAGAGAGAGGGAGGGAGGGATGCAGGGAGGGAGGGAGGGAGGGAGGGAA